AACGGTGCCTGTGACGGGATCCCACCGCCGGTTCTCGATGATGTATGTTTTCGTCTCGTGTCTAGAAGTCGGGTTTGTCATTAGTACATGTATACACTAAGCAATGACGAATTACGCTCAAGGTTATTGGCACTCACGGTGACATATTTTTCTGGCCAATCTTGAGGTGGTCAAGAAGAATCCCCGCAGCTTGCTTCGATAGTCTGACATGCTTCTTTCCTCTCTTGAACTCCCACACTGCCGGCTGGTTGGGGAAAACATCGCACCGAAGTAGTTCAAGGGGCAAGTTTGCGTGGAATGACTTTACTGCTGTGGCCACACCATTCTCAGTCTTCATCTTGGCCGAAAGTTCACCAGCTGCGGTCGCGGCTTCCGGTGTTAGGCAAAATCGAATCGCATCAGCCAAGTTTTGGGCGTTAAGCTGCTTGTGTGGAATAGGCTTTGGCCCAGCGCCTGCGATGGCAACCATGTCTCCCCAAAATGGCTGACTGAAAACTGTTAGTTTCGAACTGAATGGGACCCCTCATATCACTCTCCAGTACTCACTCGCCAAAGAAGGGGACGATTGTGGTTGGCCTTCCGTTCAAGAGGCCGCAAGCCGTGGTCCCGGCGCCACCATGGTGGAACACTGCCGCAACGTTGGCAAACAGCCACTCGTGGGGGCAGTCCCCCAGGAACAGGATGTCATCAGCATCAATACCTCCCAGATTACTCCAGCCTTTCGATATAATTGCGCGAACTCCCGTTGCGCGGACAGCCTCGACAAGGATCTTTGTCATTTCGTCGGGGTTGTCGATGACGATACTGCCGAAGCCGATGTAGATGGGAGTCGGTCCATTTTTCAGGAAGTTTGCGAGTTCGGTGGGAGGCTCGTACTGAGGAGGTTCGCGGAAAAAGAAGCCGCAAACATCTATGCGAGAAATCAGTACCAGATCCACCTACAGTCTTGCGCAATGGATATGTCTTACCGATATAGGCAGGCCAGTCGATGGGTTTTGGTACAAGTGATGGGGACCAGCAATATGTGAATGGAATCTTCTGCGACTCTGCGAGAACCGGGCCTTCGGAAAACGGCACTTCTTCAAGATCGATCGTCCTTCTCCAATCGTTGATGACATCTCCGAGGCTGTAATAATCATCAGCACGAGAGACCAAAGACAGCCAGACAATTGCTTACCCTTGCCATGTCAACCACTCAACGACGCTGTAGGATACAAAGTTGGCCGTCATCTGGTCAACAACTCCCTTCTCTCCAAACTTGAGATTGGCCAAGGGATGCGGGAATGCTCTCGTGCTACTCCAAGGCATGGTAAACATGAGATGTAGCGGAACACCCAGGGCTTGGGCGCAGTGGACATGTGCGAAACTCGGCGGATTGGCAATGATTGCATCCGCCACGAAAGGTGTACCAGTCTGTGTATCAGGCTCGATACAAGACCTCCAGCACCCTTCCAGCATTTCCTTTACCATCTTCCGCTTCTTCTGAATATCGCCGCCCTTCAAACTCTTCAAGCTCGGGATCAGGCCTGGATTCTTGACCATGTAGGCCATCAGTTCGGAGGGATCACCGCCGATGGGGTAGAATTCGAGGCCGGATTTGCGGACAAAATCATCAAAGACGTCGTGTGTTGCAACGCGTACTCTGTGGCCGTACGTCTGGAGCTCGTTTCCGAGCGCGATGAAGGGCTGGACATCACCGCGACTTCCTACAACTTGGATGACGATGTTGAGTTTGACAGGGAACGTCTTCTTCTCGGCGAAGCGCTCTGCTGCTTCGAAGTACTCTGGCGGGGGGCCCTCTGCTGCTGCTGCTTGTGCCAGTTGGGCTGGGTCTTTGAAGTCGGGGACAAAGCGGGCGAGGGTTGTCGCCAGCCGCGAATCGAGGTTTACGTTAATTCTACCGTCCGCTATTGTAATTTTCTCTGATTAGGATGTATTCAAAGGGGCTATTAGATGGGTCGGCTGGGGTTCCTACTTCCGACGCTTTCGCTATGTTGCTGGAGTCCCTCGTTGATCGCCGTCTCGTAGGATGGGAGATAGTCTTGAGGAACTGGATCATCCTCTATCATTCTGATGGTATTTCGCTTCGACATCTTGTACTCTCGAAGTAGGCTGAGGGGTGGGTTTCTGGTTGACGAGGGTGAAGTTATGGTCGTGCAGTACACAATGTCGACTTAGAAAAAGGAAAATGGGTATCGAAGAGGAAAATATTGAACGATCGCCGAATCAATCAAGAGCAGAAAGGGGCAAGAGCACGGTATGTTTTCAAGACGATCAAAAGAAAAGTCAATTCCTAAACGTGAAATCACCAACTAGGGAGGGGTCTCGAGGAATTTAGCCTGGGAGTCAAACCAACTTATCAAATATTCAGCTACCGCCTACTACTTACATCATACGCCGCCACATCACCCCTCCGTAGTCTGTAGCCTTAGTCGCATATCTCGTACCTGACTCGGGTTACCCGTAGGGCAAAGCCGAACGGGAGTGCTAAGGGGACTAGGATTCGTAGGGCCGGTAGTTTGAGCCGCGCCACAACGCGCCGAACTGCGAATCCACGTAAAGAGACCGTGTTTGTAAAGGCTTTCAAGCTCTTTTGGGCATATGCAGTTGCGAGGAGCCGCGGACTCGGCAAGTACCCGTCGGATCGGGGCCATAAAAATCTCATGGGTGTGGACATGTTGTCGCGATACGCGATGGGGGCGCCAGTCGATGCTTAATTATGAGTCAATGTAAGTGGGCACAACCTTAAACGTGTCATTGGTTCACTGTCGACCCGCGGGTTGTCGCATTGTCTCGCATCCATGGTGACGAATACGCGTATACGACCAACACAGAATCCGCGGATAGATCGTTCCTTGTGAGTCGCTAGAACCGTCGCTAGTCTGGAATTCTAAACTTGGACCGCTGCCCACTGCCGCAAAGACTTTGCACATTTCGCCGGATTAGGCACCGTCTCCCGGGATTTATGGCTTCGTCCTCTGGCCAATGGCTGGATTGGTATCATACGCGTACGGAGAATACCGCATTGTGCTTGATCAACGTGGCTCAGCCCTACTAATACTCCGCGTACAATCTGAAAATCTGCAAATGTCATCCCTCAGAGGCTCAGTCTGCCTAGCGCCAGGGGGCTTCTTCGTGTTGAGGCTGTTTTGCATCGCAGCAACACTCGTATGCAAACACAAAGGGGTAAAGGGGAAGAATTCAAAGATGAACGTAAAGACTTACTTATATCGAGGTCTTTGGACCGATTATGGATGATAATAGAACACGATCAACAAGCTTCTACATCGCCCGCCCACAGCCTTTACACGAACGGAACACAGTCTTTATCGCCTTGGGATTGAAGCTTTCTCTTTCCGACGACCAAGCTAAACTTTTCGGCCCGCCCAAACTCAATTTGAAGCCAAAATATTACCTAATTGCGCCAAGGAAAGACTCAGGACTTCACGATGGCGGACAACAGCACCACAACAGATGGTGCCTCCACCGGCTTCGTTTTTTACCACTATGAGCCGTCTATGGTAGCGGCAACCGTCTTCATTATCGTGTTTGGGGTTTCTTGTATGCTACACATCTGGCAATTATGTCGACGCAAGACGTGGTACTTTATTCCCTTTGTGATTGGGTGCATATGTAAGTTATCATAGTCCAAACACAACTCCATCCCCAAGCATGACTCGGCTGACATTTCCCTAGTTGAAGCAGTCGGATACGCTGGCCGAGCCATGTCTGCGGGCGAAGCACCTGATTACACCAAAAACCCCTACATTATCCAGTCGATCCTTCTCCTCCTTGGTCCCGCTTTGTTCGCCGCGTCGATCTACATGGTTCTCGGTCGCTTGATCAACCTTCTCGATGCCGGGGGATACTCTTTGATCAGACCAAACTGGTTGACCAAGGTCTTCGTGCTAGGAGATGTGCTGTCATTCTTCGCACAGTCTGGAGGTGGTGGCATGTTGGCGACTGCCAAGAACAGCGATAATGTGAAGCTCGGCGAAAACATCATCGTCGGCGGTCTCTGCATTCAGATCCTTTTCTTTGGGTTCTTCATCATCGTCACTCTTGTCTTCCACCTCCGCCTCTCCCGCAACCCGGCACCAAAGTCCCTTACAGTTCAAACCCCATGGAAGGGTCTCCTCTACGTTCTCTACGGCACCAGTCTACTCATCATGGTTCGCTCGCTTTTCCGAGTTGCCGAATACGTGGGAGGCAAGGACAGCGAGCTACAGGCCAAGGAGATGTACATCTACATCTTTGATGCGACACTGATGGGCATCACAGCTATGTCCTTCAACTGGTTCCACCCAAGTCGTGTCATCAACCATCAGGCTACCGGTTTGAAGCAAGTTTCTAGCTCCGAGGTCCTCAACGAGGGATACCTGATGGAAAGCGGACAATACCCGAAGCCGCAACAACAACAATACCAAGACCCGCGGTACGAGCCTTACCAAGGAGTCGCCGGTAACCAGGGGTTTCGTAGGTGAAAGAAATCAACAAGGCGGCGTTGAAGAAACTCGAGAGACGAGGGTAGAGCTTCCAGTGGCACCAGCGGGAACAAGAAAGCCGAGCGAAGAGAATTGGAGAGATTGGGCTTATGATCCGGTCACTTGACTGGGGTCTTTTTCTTTTGTTTTTAGTTTGCCCTTCTAGGGTTCTTTTCCCTTTGTTCTTTGGCGAAGAAGCCTGGATAGACTCATGAAACATGTAGGATTACATAACATCTGGTTTGGGGTTTGGGATTCTGTACGAAAGGTATACGTTGATGCCTTGGAGTAAATGGATAGAAAGCAAAGTTGATCTCACACTATGTACCAGGAATCCATTGAGACAGTCCCAGAAATCTACTTTTTCTTTCTTTACGATATGCAGTCAGTCGAGGAGTACCCAGGCCACACGCATTGCTTCAACTTCCAAAGTCTTCAATTACCATGTTGTGCGTTGCGCATATGCTACCTTACACCGATGGACAAATCAGTGACTGTTATGAAGTTCCGTCATTACTAAAGCTTCCTCAGCAGAACCTTCCTGTTGGGGTCCGGTTGAGTCTAGAAACTTATTAGCAGGCTGGTCCTCCCACGATGGATCCTTAATCACTTACTATTGCGCCGAATTCCAAGTTCTTGTATCGCTCCTTGCTGTCTCCTACGTTCTTAATGTCGTAGTTGGCCAGCGTCGTCGCCATGATCATCTTGATCTCGTTTACAGCGAAGAAGCGGCCTGGGCATGCGTGACGACCGTAACCAAAGGTCAAACTGGTCTGCCCCACGCTGACGAACTGGGCATTTGCCACAACCTCGGCCTGTTTCGAGCCGGTTTCCTGTTCCGTCTTGGCTTGTCGAAGCTTGTAAAATCTCAAGGCGTCAAACTTCTCGGAGTCCGGGAAGATCTCATCGTCGTTGTTGATGCCAATTACAGGCAACTCGATTACGGATCCGCCAGGAATGACCTGGCCGTTCGATAGAGCAAACGTCTTCAAGACCTTGCGCTGGAATGATGCTGTACAGATGGTTAGTTGTTGAATTAGTTACTTAGCTGAGACTGTACACTCACTGGGACCAAGTGCATAGTATCTCATCGTCTCCTTGAGGAAGCTATCCAGCTTCTTCATGTTCTGCATAGCGCCGCTGGTGAAGACACCGTTGCTCTCGGCCAAGGCTTGCTGGATGTCGTCCCGGAGCATTGGAATCAGCTCAGGCATAGCAGCCAGGGTGTAGAGACTTGATTCACTTCGTCAGCGTTATCCACGTTGCCTTGGCTATCGTATGTCCAGATACTTACGCATTGGTCGTGGTGACAGTTGTAGTGTGGATAGCAGCGAAGCTGATACCCAGCTGGTACCTAGCAAGCTCTCTATCATTCTTCTCACCAAACTTCTTCTGCGACTCCATGATCCATTGCAGCATATCGTCCGGCTTTTGGTAGTCGGGGCTTTTCTCGGCCTCCTTCCTTGCGGTCACCACAGGTCTCAGGAACTTGTCCGCCTCCTCAATCCGGTGGTGAACCTGCTTGACTTCCGACGTTCTTGCTGCCAAGAAGGGGCGCAGCCACGGAGCAATATCAGCAACCTTTCTAACGGCCTTCATCAGATCGAGGGTATAGTTGATCGCGGCGTCTAGGTATTCTTCGTTTCGGCAGAGCTCGGGTCCGATAAAGACGCGCCCTGAGGCCATGGCGATGACTCGCATCATCTTGTCCATGATCTTGACCTCGTTCCAGTCGCATGATTGGGGGAGCTCTGTTCGCAGAGCTTCGACGACTTCGTCGGCGATGATCGGGTTGAGTCGGACTGTTGAGGTATTAACATTGTTAGTGGAACTTACAAGACCTTGTCACAGAGATATGACGTACCCAGAGCTGGTGTCAAAGCAGTCTTGACGGTGTGGGGCAACAACGCGATGTCGGTGTCTATACCTGTGTACTTCGCGTGCATTGACTAGGGATTCATCAGCGCTTCCTCGTTATTGTAAGATGTTCTTAGCCTGACCTCTTCGATGGCCCGGTTGAAGCTGAGAACGTCATCAGGAAGCCTCTTCAGCTCGTTCATGAACTTCGGGGCGACGACAATATTTGGCGATTCTGGTGACTTAGTACAGGTGATCTTCGCTATTGAGAGGCTGGAGCTTACTCCTTGCGGTGGTGATCCGGAAAGCTCTCTCTTTGAACTATGCGTATGTCCGGTTAACTCAAAATGTTCACCATTGGGACTTGCTGGTGTCTGCCGTACCTTTCTGTATCCTCTTAGGTAGAGGTTCCTGGCCTCGCCATTCATGAACTGCTTTCGCCGGGCTTCGGATCCTCCAAACTCTGTGCCTACCATAGGAATATCTGCCCATGGATCACTCTTCAAGACTGTTTGGAGCAAATATGCCACAGCACATGCAAACAGGGCAGTGGCGGCGACAGGCCATCGCTGGGCTACTTCGATAAAGAGGGCGCCGTCCACCTCAGCACCTGCTGTAGCGTTCACGTTGGGAAGCATCGACATCGACATCTTGGGTGGTTGACGGGTTGCGATGATGGTGTGCTCGGACAAGAGAATTAGACTCAAGAAAGAGATGGGACATAAGGATGTAATATAATCTCGCCGTACCCTCCATCAAGTCCCCTTGGCTGCAAGCTTGACAGCAACAACCAAGTACGTTCTGGGGACCCAGCCACGAGCCGTGACGAATGCCACCAACACAGCCGACGGGAGACAAACTACGAGCATAATTTAGTAAGTAGCCGGCGTGAAACTTACCCGCGGATTGCGAAACCGGGTGGAACCGCCCAACTACCGGCCGGGGGAAAGAGAGAAAGATGGTGGTAGGCTGTGAGCATGGCTCACATCTTGTCTTCTCCCCCAACCAACCACCCCCTGCGCCGATCAACGGGACGAAGAAGAATCAGATCTCATGGGTATAAATTAGCGCTACCGTGGGACAAAGGGACCAGAGGCAACAAAAACGCGGGGTGAGGGGCGAAGATAGTGTGAGGGCTTTGACCAAGCGGACTGACGAAAAAGTCCGAACCAAGGTTCGTCGAGTGAGGTTCCCGTGTAAACGAGAGTAAACGACGTTACCGGTTTCGTATTCGCGAGTATGATCGTCAAGAGGATACCAAGCGATCTGTGCGACGTGGTATGACGCAACGTCGCTTGTAAGCCTGGTCGCATCGATGTGTTTCTAGAGGTTTAGGGAGGGCTCCTCGAGTCACTTCGACTCGTTCTATCAGGCAGAAGAAGACGATCTCGTCTCGGGCACATACATCAAAATGCAAGTCTTTCCTTGTTGCCAATGTGCACATCGCACAGAAAGCGCCTGAAATGTTCTCGGTTTCTCTTTCACTGGCGAATAGAGGCCGCCCTTAACTGTCATGCGGTCCAAGTGTGGACAATCTGTAATGTTTCGAAACCTTCTGTTTGTGGCATCTTGGCCCTCATCCGCGGCCCAAGCGGCACATCATTGGATGAAAGAATGAACATGAAAACGTGGTGGAAGAAAAAGAAGAAACGATAGCACGTAGTAGGTTTGGCCAAGACCGGATAGTTGGTGTGTTCGGCCCTTTGAGTTGGAATATCAACATGTCGGATGACTTGCCTCGACGAACTCCCTAATTTACGCCTAAAGATGTGGTGGCATCTCCCACCGGGAGAGCTAAGCCGAGAGTTCAAGAGTCATAAACTTTAAGAAAGCCAGTAATCTCCCCATCGAACAGCGGTTTGCCAGTTGAGGGATCTTCACTGTTGGCGCCCAACAATCTGGCCTCCCAAAATGTTCCTTGATCAGAAGTCGTCTCCTTCTTGAAACCCCACGTCGTGTAGCCCTCGGAGCCCAAGAAGACCCCGTCGATCTGCGTGCCGTTGAGCGTGTAATGCGAGTACGGCTTGACCTCGGTGCCGTTGACCAAGTACATGAGTAGAGCGTCGTACGGAATCTCTGCGACCGCGAGGTTCTCCCAGGTGTAGCCCGAGACGCCAGTGGGCACATGGCCCTGAATGCCTTGGCCATCGACACACTGAAGCGGGTCCTGCGCAACAGCGGCTCTGTCAAGTGCAGCCATCTGAAAGGAGTATGGTTAGTGATGTGACTTGACTTTAGACGTGACCAATCAGGTGATGGCGCCCGGATGTGAACTCACGTATCCCCATCGGATGCCAGTCGAGCCGCGAGAGTAAATGGCGGTCAGGCCGTGATTGTCGAGGACGCCGCCGTCGGTATCCTTTACTTGGATCGACCACGGCCCCGCTTGACCGGCAGAAGCGTCGTAGCCCGGGTACGCGGAGCAGCCGCCGGTAAGCTCCTTGACCGTGACGTTCTCAGCGGCTGAGACGAATGGTGACATGGTGATGCCAACGGCCGCAGCCGCGATAAACTTAGCGAGTGACGACATCTGAAGCGACTGAATCCTGAAAGCAATTGAATGTGATAGATCGACACAAGGAGTTAGATAAGCAGCAGGTGAGGCTCTATTCGCTCAACCTCTGTATCGGCAGATTGCCAAGATTTTATAACAACTGCCCCTGAAAGGATTCTAGGCATCAAACGGCCTCATTCCGAACGCCATTCTCGTGAGATGATCCATTCCCGCAAGCGAAGGAACTTGGGTGTTCCAAAGCCGGAGCTAAACATGCAACGGCGCGTTCCTGCCTAACTCAACAGCCTATAGAAGCACGGGAGCATCGGGACGGGGCAGGATTTTAGGCTGAGAGAAGGGGGGGTTGAGGCCGCCAAGGCAAAATTGAAGCTTTGCCCCCGCAAGCGGATGACGCTAATTGCCGTTACCCGCCTGTGCGATCTTGATTTTGAATCATCGAGGGCAAGACATCATGGCGTCGAAAAGAGACAATGACGACAAGCTCCAGAATGCTAAGCGATGTGACTATGCTGCCTGGCTGTGTCTGGGATACGATGTAAAATAAGCAGGATATCAAGTTAAGCCAGTTGTCCTGGGACAATTGGTCTCTACGATCAGGTGTCGGTATTCGGACCTTTGGGGTTCAAACAATTGCAAAAGCAAAATGCCAGCCCCTTAATTAGCGCTGTTGATCTGATCAGCCACCTTTCCCTTCTTGCATAAGCCACACTAAAGACCGACAGCCACTTCGCCCCTGTCGTCATTCTGCAAGCTGTCGATCAGGAACCTCGTGATCCCGCAGGTGCTTGACTCAGGTATGCTAGGAGGAAAGACCCCTAAAATGGGGATGGAAACAGTGATCCCGGGTATACCGTAACAGAGGACTCATGAACGAGCTTACTGAGCGTCCGGAGGTATGATTGCATGCGAGAAATACGAAGGGCAGCTTGAGACTTTCAGACGGCGAATGGACTGCCATATTTGGGGGTTTCTTAGTAAACTTAGGTGACGCTCAGAGTGTCAGGGAGCGTGTCTGGCCCTATCGGATGATCCCCATGCGCATTTACCTCGCGGTTTACAAGGCAAACCACACAGCAGGGGCGTGATGAGGTGCAACTCGATACAGTTCGAGCAAAGCCATCACGTGACCATCAATCCTCCTTGGGCCCCCTTTGACGTCGATCATGATGTTGAGGGCAAGTAAGTTTGGACAGGGAGCCTAACTTCAGCGGCGCGCAAACGCGTCTGTCGACGAAGCACCATCAGGCAATTGATCAGGTTAGTCAGCGAAACCAAGTTGTCACGATCACTGCATAAGGGCACGAGCGACAACGAATTCGAAAACGAGTTGAGTTTTTTATTCCACTTTCTTGGTCGCAAGACCGACCTGAACGTCTAAAGTCGCACGGCGAAGCAAGATGTTGCAATAATACATTCGGGCGTTGGTCAAGAACCCGTCTGTGGCTATGACATCGATGGAGAGTACTTGTTTGTTTATTTTATGTTAATACATCGTCTGTATCCATGTCACAGAAACAACGACATTGATGCGGTCAGTCTTGATTCAAGGTCGCAATCCGTCCTCCAACAATGTTCAACAGGTCTATCATTCCATGAGGCATACACCGAAGCTTATTCCTTTTGTAAACAAAAAGCTTTTCCAGCCACGAGCGCACTTCGGTTTCGTGTACCAGAACCGACTACACCAAATTTGAAGGAAATGATGGCATAAGTTCGTTTTGACCGGAACGCAGATTGACGTTGCTACCACCCAGTGTTGTCCGTTGATTTGCGATGATTCTGAGTCTAGAGCACCGCGAATCCATGTCCGAAGGTTACAGCATTGGCCGACGATTGATCAGGATTTCAAATTTATGAACTCAGGTTTGTCAGATTTGTACATCGCTGGCGTTTTCCCAAACATCACCTTGCGGCTAATACTATCTCGATGGAACTTGAATCTCCTCATCGAATACTCGCGTCTTTCTTTTAGACAAAGGGGAAGCGACCGACTGTGACAATCACCTCTAGGTACCTTGTTCCCGAAGAAAGTAAATCGTGGATATCACCTCGACAGTAATTCTTCCCGATGCCGGTGTTCTAGAGGGATTAGCGACAGGGCGCCAAGCCCGTATCCTTGAGAAGTTCGTTAGAGAAAACTGACATACTAGGAGGACACTTTAGCAGCGACCTGTAGAAAAGGAACAAGCCTGAATTCAAGTCATTTGGTATAAGGTATGTGTTAGTTGTATTCTCGGCTCAATGTGCTCAACGTACAGGCCCCAGCCTGTTAGACTTGCTGCTATTATAGCCTACTAGAGCAAGGTTCCTATCAGGCTATCATCTGGATGATAGCTGGTGCTCGGGATCAAACTCTTCCTGGTTTATGAGTTCCCTTTCAAGCACGACATATACGTTACGAGGACATCCTTACATGTTTCTGTATAGGAAGTCTGCTGTTCACAATTTCGAAATTCTTGGTTGCGTCAGATACAAACTATCTCGCTCCTCTGCCCAAGTTGCATGCCTCAACATCTTCTTCAGACAACGATTTTGCTTGTGATTCAAGATAGAAGTTTCCTTCAACCGGAGTTATGTGGTAATAGCCTTATCTAATTCGGTGGCGGCGGGGATTGCCTGATTAAGAAGTTGGGGTGCAGATGTTGATGCATGGCGCTTATCATCACGATGCAACCCCGCACCTCCATCTTCCCCGGTCCTTCTTCTACGTCCATCACTCCGAGACAAATACAATTCATGCAATCCTTGTTTTTCGATATAAAGTGACACATTTTGACACTTTCGAATTCCTCCTGATAAACCATCAGGAAACTGGCCTATCACCCCTGTAACGACACACTCTGACGTCTGATCCTCTCAATGTCATTCAAGTCGGAAGCCATCGTCGCCAGAGGCCCCTTCTCTGAAGGAAAATGGGCCATTGAACCAGTCACTCTTCGAGATCTTCGCTCAGACGAGGTTCTTGTTGAAGTTGTCGCCTCTGGTATCTGTCACACAGACTTACACTGCGGTAACACGCCCGATGATAAGGGAGTTCCTGGAGTCTACTACCCTCGAGTCCTGGGACATGAAGGTAAGTGATCTTGTACTTTAAGCCAATTAAAAAGCCGTAGTGCTTCAGTTCGCTAACTCGTATCAAAGGTTCTGGATACGTGGTTCAGGTCGGAGATGGCGTGACGAAGGTCAAGCCCGGCGACGCCGTTTTCCTCTCCTTTTCATACTGCGGAGAGTGCCACGTCTGCAAGACGGGACCGCCATCTCACTGCACCAAGTTCTTCGAGATCAACTTCATGGGAGAGCCAGTCTTCTCGGACGGAATAGGCGGGCGCTTTTTCGGCCAGTCCAGCTTAGCCCATCACACCGTCGTCAGCGACAAGTCCGTCGTCAATGCGGCCGGCCTCGGACTGACTCGGGATGACCTGAGAATACTAGCACCGCTTGGATGTGGTCTCCAGACAGGCAGCGGAACCGTCATCAACGTCGCCAAGGCCGGTCCGAAGGACTGCATCGCCATCGCGGGTATGGGAGGTGTAGGCTTGGCGGCGGTCATTGCAGCAAAGAACCAAGGGTGCAAGGCCATCATCGGAATCGACCGAGTCGAGTCTCGCCTCGAGCTGGCTAAGACACTAGGAGCTACGCACATCATCAATACGACTGGGCTCGAAATGGCGCAGGTGACTGAGAAGATCAAGGAAGTGGCTGAGGGGCTTGGAGCAACCATTTGCATCGACACCAGCGCGTTCCCGCCTTTGCTCGAAGCTCAAGTTCAAGGAACGCGGTACATGGGGAAGATCATTCAGGTTGGCACTGGCATGCCAGAGTCACATCTGTCGCTTCACATGCAGAGTTTCATGGTCAGCGGAAAGCAGTATTTTGGAGCGGTTCAGGGGCACGTCAACACTGCCGAGTACGTTCCTCAGATGGTTCAGTGGTGGAGAGATGGGAAGTTTCCTGTTGAGAAGCTGATCAAAGTCTTTGAACACGGCGATTTTGCTTCAGCTGTAGAAGCGATGAAGCGCGGCGACGTTGTCAAGCCAATTATTGCCTGGTCATGAACCATGGTCCGTGGGCTTTATGGAGCTCATACTATGACCATCGTCATAGTGACTCGAAACAAAGAAAATCCAACGTAGGTATCACCCTACTTTATTATACATATGCTCACAAAGCTTGATCATCTTAACTGAACTCAAGCCGTTCTCAGAGCCTCATCGCAATGCCGACCTCTGATCTGAGCCTCCAGTCGTCCCGTTCCAACAACCTCTTCAGCAATAAACATGTGCGCACCCAACAAAGCCAAGCCAAGCCGGGGTTCTTTCGGCTCATTTCCCGACTTATCAGTTCGCGTTTAAGCTAGAGGACCCCGAACAAACCGGGACTTTGTGATTGGTCAACAAGTTACGAGCAGTCAACTGACCATTCACGCGAGACTCTGATAAGAAAACGCGCGAATAATGTTGCATTCGTTGTAATGCAAGAACCCCGCAATCCGGGGGGCATGGTGGAGACGGTGGTTTTCCCAACTCACCGTTGCATTTATCCCCCAGGCCAGGGCCAATCTTCCCGAGCGGCTCAAGGCTTGAGCAGCCCATCTCTAAACTCCTTGAACTCCTTTTCTTTTACTCATATGGGCGCCAAAGAATCGCACCACTTTCTCGTCCGGTCAGCCAATCCTAAACCAAAAAGCCGCACCCAAGAGTGAGAGAGCGGAGAGAAAAACAATGGAGAATCTCCTCGGCCCAGACCTGGCCTCCAAAATCGGTCCCTGGATCCTCCCTAAGCCGCTCGAGGCACCGCCGTCGCCCGAGTCCGTCTGCAACAGCGACCGGGCCTCGCCGACGGAGGAGACCAAACGGCGCAGGGCGGGTGGACCGAAGGCGCGTACCGGCTGTGCCACCTGCAAGACTCGCCATGTAAAATGCGACGAGCGCAAGCCCACATGTTTCCGTTGTGAGAAGGTCGGAGTAGTCTGCGAAGGCTACGTGGACCGCATCGACCGCCGGAGGAAACGGACAAACCAGAATGTGGTCCGCCGGAATACGCCGCAGCTCATCGCCCCTCGGTCCGCTTCAGCCGAGGCCGCCGACGTTTGCAGCGGCAACAGCAGCAGCAAATCCGAGATGATCTTGTCGCCTCAGATTCCTAGATCGCTCTCGAGCCTACCCAAGATCTATCACAAGGACGGCGTTTACTACGATTACTTTCGACATCAGGTTTCCACCAACCTGGCAGGTTACTACACTAGTCCCAACTGGTCATATCTAGTCGTCGGTGAAGGTCTGCAAGATGACTGTATTCACCACTCGATCCTAGCTGTCGGTGCGCTTATTCGCTCCACCCCTCAGGATGCGAGACCAAGCACGCCTAGAAGAAAAGCGTTACCACCTACCTCGGATGGCTACGCTGTAACCGAACATCGTGAGGTCGCGTTGCGACATCATCTCAAGGCAGTCAAGTCTCTAAGAGAACGAATGGAGTTAATAACGGCATCATCACCGACCACAGTAGTTGTCACGACTCTACTACTGGTCGTGTACGAGCTGCTTCAGGGTGAACCAAGGACGGCCGAAATGCTCCTCAACTCATGCTTAGGAGCACTGAGGGACTCGATCACAATGTTCGAAAGCGATCCCGATAGTGAGGAGAAGTATCGTGACTCAGAATTCAACGACATGGAGCATGTGCTCCCGTGCATAGCGGCCATGAGCCAGCTCTCACAATCGCTTCAGCCTCGCCGCCATCACGCGCACCCTTTCAAGATTGATCCCGGATCTGACGTCCATAATCCTCAGCATGAACCAATCTCAAAATTCTTCATTTCGTGGGGCAGGTTCTTCACTTTCGCCGTCAGCTTCATCAGCAACTCTACCGATGTCACTGCTGAGGGCATTTCCATGGATATGCTCCGTCACCTCACCATCCACCAGCAAAACTTCCTTTCACAACTACAACAATGGAGATCCGTCATCCAATACTATGCCGAGAGTCCGACAGTAGATATCGCGACCAAGAAGGGCCTGAGAATCGCTCAAATTCACTGGCTCCTTCTCCACATCACACTCACTTGCTGCTTAGACCCAACCGAAGTGGCCTACGATGCATTCGAAAACGAATTCAGAGATCTGACGATGCTTTGCGTTGAGTTATATCGTGACTGCGTGTCACAGCCCCGCCCGACGTCTGTGTTGCTGGGGCAGGGCCTCATTTTACCACTGTGCACTGTTGTGCGCGCCTGCAGAAATCACGACATCCGCATGACGGCATTGCAGGCACTGCATGAGATACCCCCGTCGATGGTCGCTTGGGATGTGGTGTCAAACATGGACGGGATCCTGGGAGCCTTGCTGCTTGAGGAGACTGGCCGTGACGCGAAAGGATTCGTTCCCCCGGAATCGAGATGGTTTTGGTTAAAGGATGTGACTGTGCCAGAAACGCAGAGGATCCATAAGGTCTACCAGAGGCTAGCACCGGGGCAAGATGGCAAGCCTGTTCTGACGAAGTTGCGACCGACATCTAATGTACGATCAAAGATCTGTAAGGCGAGCGGATGTGAGAAATACCACTTGCTGGGACCGGTAGTCGTAGAAGACTCGTGAAATAGGACAGCGTCCTGGTTTTTATGATCACCTTGCGAGAAAAACAAAGACGTGTCCAACAGTCAACCATAAATCTCATGCTGAACAAAAGAAAAGTGGTATTCGTGACAATAGCACCTCGGCCCGTATAAGTAGAAAGTATTTGAGAATCGTAAATACCAGCCAGTCACAACCAATAGGCTCGGTTCCTCCTGAGTTGAAGTCGGACGCTCTTATTTGATAGGCTAGCCTCGTATATATTAGCCAATCGGGCGAGACCCAGGAAGGTTGACAAGCCAAATGTGGCAAGTGGTTCTACAGATGTCCCAGCACCTCCACTCCACTTAGTCTGGTCCAACCCTCTGAGATTCGTAAGAATCACCCAATGAGACGATCAAGACCTTAGATACCTAGTACACCATAAAGGTTGTTCCAACTTATTCTATTAGGTTACACAATAGGGGTCAGAAAGCCATACATTTAAGACAGGATACCGTCCGCGGAGGCACCCCTCGGCAGCCTCGCCCTTCTCCATCCCTCCTAGATTCATCGGCTGCAAAATATTGCCATCTTTGATCATTTTTCGCAATCGCATAACTTTTGTCATGAGTGCCCCAGTAATCGCTCAGCCAGTTGTGGTATCGCTGGCTGACTTGCAAAATGGTATTTCAAAATGTCTCTCCTTTTAGTCCGTTCTTCATGGCTGACATTAGCTACAGGAAACGTGCCTTTTGAGAAACTTGTCGAGGCTTTCGGACCGGATTCTCTAGGGATTCTAGTTGTCAAGAATGTTCCACCAGAGTTTCCCGAGCTGAGACGTCAAGCACTTTCATATGCCTCGTATCTTGGAAACTTGCCGAAAGCCGAGCTTGGTGATTAGTTAACCCTTCCGTTAAGTTGAAACGTACGGTTATTAACACTGGCATGCAGACAAGGTCGAGAACCCCGCTGCCAAGTATCTGACAGGCTGGTCGCTGGGAAAGGAACAACTCAAAGACGGACAAGTAGACACATTCAAAGGGTCTTTCTACGCCAACTGCGCCTTCTACACGGATCCAACATTAGATGCCGCGAGACCAACACCTGACTTCTCGGCCGAGAATTTCCCGGAATATCTGTCACCAAACATATGGCCCGAAGAACAGGTTCTCCCAGGATTCAAACGCAGCTTAGAAGACCTGTGCAGGCTATTGATTGACACAGCTGTTCTTGTTGCACGTGCGTGCGATCAATATGCGGAGCGGGAAATCGAGGGGTACACGAAGGGCTACGTCGAGCACGTTGTCAGCACGAGCAACACCACTAAGGCCAGATTGCTGCACTATTACCCGCAATCTCAGGAGGGCTCGAGTGAAAATGAGGACGACTGGTGCGGTGTGCACCTCGATCACTCGGTTCTGACAGCCTTGACATCCGCAATGTTCGTCGATGAGCACAAGACGCCGTCGGATTCAGTTTCACACGCCAAGGACGCCACAGGACTCTCTGCGCTCGAGGAGATGGCAGGAAGCCCTGATCCTCTAGCTGGACTTTACATCAAGTCTAGGACAGGGGACACCGTGCAGGTGAAGATTCCTAGAGATTGCATTGCTTTCCAGACCGGCGAGGCACTCGAACGGATCACAAAGGGCAAGTTCAAGGCTGTGCCGCACTTTGTGAGAGGCGTTAGGCCTTCTATGAGCAATGGCCGGGTTGCGAGGAACACTCTGGCGGTGTTTACTCAACCGAATCTTGGCGAGGAGGTTGACTCAGAGCAGCATATCACATTCGGAGAATTTGCTAGGGGCGTTGTGAGCAAGAATACTGTTGAGGCTTGAAATTGGAAGAAGTTCCGATAAAGAGTATACTTTGAGAGTAATAAATTGTAATGTGATACCTCGGCTACCTAATGTTGGCACCTCTTGGCTCGATACTCGCGGTTCATGCAATGATATCTGTGCCATGTCAAGACGCCACAACTCATAATGCGCATAATATTTGGGGCCAGTACATCTCCTCAGTGTAAAGGCGGTTTAACATCGGAAATTTAGTTATCCAACTTAGCAGAGTCAAGCTTCGTAGGCCCTTCTGACCCCAGACTTTGCTCTTCCACAACAGCCTCGATGACTTGAAGCTCCGTCTTGGCTCGCCGCTTTTCGACTAGAATAAGAACGGTGACCCAAATCGCCATGGTCGTTCCTACAGCAATCATGACAATCATTCCTTTCTATCGTACTATCAGCATGATCCTGAGGGTCAAGTCTCGGTCTCGACGAAGGACAGCTCTTTCTACACACCTTGAACTCTGGAGCGTCATCGGCTCTGTAGAAAATTAGTGGCCACCAAGCTTGGAAGCAGTTGCCAGCCGCGTTCATGCATGCAATAACGCACGATCGTAGTCTCGGTGATTCATTTCGCATCGAGTCATTGGCCCACGCAAAGAAAGTGGCTTGGATACAATAGATCGAGCCAGCCCAGTAGTAGGCCCCAAATTTGGCTGCCGTCGAAGTTTGCGCGAGAATGATTGCGGCATTAGCAATAGCCGTGAAGGAGACGTAGTATCCCGACAGCCACCGCCTACCCCAAATATCTGTTGATGTGGCCCACAACAGCGTGCTCGTCACGCCCATGGCCTGTACACCGGTGGGGTAGTTGTTGCGTTGGTAGAGATTGTACTTCTCTGTTGGATGAGCCTGCATATAGAGGTTGAGAAGCGACTGATTGGACTGCGATTCGGAGCAATTGCCTAAAATCCACAGGAAACAAAAGGCATAGAGGTACCAGGAGTGTACTACTCTAGATAGGAAAGACTTGGAGAGAATACTCTCCGTCTTGTCAACCTCGTGAATCGGCACCCGCTCTCTTGCAAGAGCGATTTCTTCTTGGCTTAGGTAGAATGCCGTGGTCGTATGAGGTGTATCGGGGAAGAAGAAGTATCCGTACACAGCGACGGGCAGCGTGATAATGCCAGAAATCTGGGCGCAGTCAGCAAGAAATCTCGATAGACAGACATAGACATTAGTCCTGAACTCACAATGAACAGCCATTTCCAACCTGGCAGACCATGGAGGCCATTCATAGACGAATGGATAGACGAATGGATGCCACTATGGAGGAAGCCACCAAACATACCACCAGCTAGACCACTGGCGGTGAAGAATCCTGTGCGCTGGCCAAGCTCCTTCTTAGTATACCATGATCCCAGAATGTACTGGGTTCCGGCGAAGATGCATGATTCAAAGTACCCTTGGAAGAATCGGATAGCCATGAGGTGCTGCGGAGTCTTCGCCACCGCGTTTAGCATAGTAATTCCTGCCCAGGTTGTGATCATAAAGGGGAAGAAGTTTCGAGGCTTAAAATAAGTCAAGAGCAAATTGTTGGGGACAATGCCTCTATGAAGTGGCAATGAGAGGTCAGTAATTCGGTCCCCAATATCTGGTGCGTCTTGCAGGGCTCCGAGAACTCACATGAGATACGCTGTCGCATAAAGAGTCGTTACGACAGTCAGTTGAGCACCTTTGAAGCCCAAGTCCTCTCGCATTCCAGAAACATATGCTTGGGTTATGCTGGCTCTGTCGAGATAATTCCTGATGCGAGTCGTATTCGTCAGCACCTCTGTTATTAACATTGAATGTTGTTGAGCCATTCACTCACATGAAATATGCTGTTCAACGTTAGAAACGGCAATCACACCATAGAGGTTGACGGGCATGAACATACCTAAACAGCAGAAAGTAAGAATGAAGAAGTCCAACTTGAGAACAAGTTTCCTCTCCAATGGAGTTGAAGCACCCTTGAAGTGCTTTCTCAATGATGAGAAGAACCCCATTGTAGCTATCGAAGTATCTTGCTTCCGCTAGTAATGCGAAAAGTAAAACAAAGAACTAATAGGTGCTGGGCAAGGGCTGGGATTCATGCGCACTCGACAGCTGATGGGCGCTTATGAAGGAAAGGTTGGAGAGCTCTTTTTATGTCCAACTGCCTTTGGTGCACTGTCATCTAGATGAAGTCGCCGTTATTGGCTTATCTGCTACTCCAAGACGCCTCATCCCTGAATATGGGAAAGCATGCTTGGCTCGGGGATAAGGGGATGGTGCCCCGCCCTCTTGAGAAACTTCCGTTATCAAGGCTCAGCAAAACATGGGGGTCTTGAGAGATACTACTTGCCAAATACCAATTACCCAGAGTGAGTAAGGCAAAGAAGCTTGGAAGTCTTGAAGTATCTCGTCCATAAGGTAGATAGAGAACTAGGCCGCCACACTTTCATTTCGCACATGCGCTAATGCCAAGCTGTCCGACTGTTGTTGCTGACTCTACGATAAGCGGGCTATTTTAATCCCCCCAGTGCCATCGTTACGTGCATGTGCGAGGCTGGAAGCCAAGACCGTGTGTTGAGATGGGTGAGTGGATCACCCTCTTGGAGGAGCTCCTCCCGTCGATCTCGACACAATATCGACGCAAGGTGATATCAACATATCTTACACCGCGCTGTGTGTTCCAGGTAGGTAGCCCAAAAACACTCAGAGTTATCATTAACCCGGTTACCAGGCTGACAATGAATGAGAGTGTGGTCGATTTCTGTTGAACGCGCCTAATCATCCTTGATTTCTTTTCTGCCAGTATGATTTATGCTTGCAATCCCCCATGAATGATCTGGAACAGACCAGGAATGCAAAAAGGCTAGAGATGGATGTATTGACGCCATAGGATGTATGAGACTTTCATAGCATTTTGTCTCGAGTTTAATGGCATGGTGAGGGCACTACGTAACTCGGTTTCTTTAGGAATTCAGAAAGCGTTACCTGCGTGTGAACTACAATGGCATAAACCCAACCGAGGGACCTTGTGGCCAACGCTACGCAATCAGTCGTTTTCTGCTGATTCGGCATGATAAATTTATCATCTCCAGCTGTTGTCTGAAATGTCTTGGTTCTAGAGCCTAGCTAGCCTTCAAAGAGGGTACATAAACCTCCCGAGGAACGTTGTCGAATTTGCCCAGACTCTGATGGCCTTCGGGATCAGGATATTCGCCAGCGAAGAAGTCGGCGTGTTTTTGAGTGTCTCGCGGACGATCAAGATCATACTCATAACGCTTGAACCCATGTTTCCGAGCGTCCAGGAAATCCGCCATACAGAATACCTGCTCATCAATAGGCTTATCGCGACCAAGTCGCTGAAGGAGAGGGGAGCCTTCGATAGGCACGAGTTCTCGCTCGTCAGCCGGACGTGAAAAGTAGATGACTCCAATACGACGAAGATGGCGTTGATCCTCGGGAGGTTCTGCACATAAAGAGTTAGTAATTGCTCGGGTGACTCATCGATCTCTGCAGCAAGCAATCACGTACGGATAACTCTATGGATAGTGGCCTTAAACAGGCCTCCCGTCAGTCGAGCAAGGGCATCGCCGAAGTTAACGACCAGACCATGAGGCTGGTGCTCGACCCAGCGATACTTCCCATCATTGTGGTCGAGAACTTGAAGTGCCGCTATGGGTTGCGAAAATAGAAAAGTCCATGTCCCCAGATCAGTGTGCCCCGAAAGGAAGATATCGCGGTACTTCTCGCTTTCTTCCTTCGATCGCGGCTCGCACATCATGTATCTGATGTACTCGGTCTTGGAACCCCCGGGTGCATGCGTTGACTGCATTACCTCTTCAGGGACCTCCAAGATGATAGCAACCTGGGTGCCATAATGATTATTCTGAGCCATATCCGGGAGCTAAGGGGCGAGCTTACCAAATTCAGAAGTTTTCTGAGGATGTTGGTTCGAATGAATTGCATCACTTCCTGTGTCTCCTGCAAATACGGTCGCATAACCTCAGGATGGGGACGGTCTAGCGGGTCGTGAACCAGAATGTTGTAATGATCCAGCTGTTTAGGAAAGCCTCCCTTACGCCCCAGGGGACCAGCAGGTTTGTACCCAACATATAGTCCCCGTGCATCTTCCTCGGGAGTTACTATCGCGCAGTGTCAATGCTTACACTCTTGTATCTTAGACCGATAAAGTAGCTGTAAATACCTTCATAAGGCGCCTTCTCTTCCGCCGAGAGGGTCATCATGGCGTTTGCTATCTGCATTTGGCGAGCGTAAACTTCATCAGAAATGCCATGATTGCTCAAAGTGAGAAAGCCGTAACCAGTCGCAGCTTCATAGAGATCCTTTGCAAGTTCCTGTCGGCCGATTTGGGTGTCAAATTTGGACAGGTCGAGGTTCACGAGTTTGACATAGTCCACTTTGCATGTTATAGTCAGCTAATTAAGGTTGATGCATTGATCCGACCTTGGAAGGTAAGACCTACACTTCTCCTCGGTGGGTGGAGCGGGTGTAAATGGAGGAAGGGACATAGTCTCTACACTGGTTGAAACGGATAGCCTCTGATGATAGATAGGGTTTGATACAGCTGAAGGTGTAAAAGATGACTTTTTCCGTATATGGCTTTTTGAAAAGTTGATGGCCTTTACTTGAGCAATCGGACTGGATCTTCACTGCCTATTATTAATATATTGTGAGTCGCATTTCTGTGAAAGGAGTTACCACATAAGCGCACTCTTACTGCGTGACCTATCATAGCGACTCTTACCCCCGTCAATGTCATAAATGCCAGCGCCGAATCGTAGATCGTTAATCTACACGCGTGACTACAGGTGCTCCTTGAGCGTGTTCCTCCTCCAAGTTCTCTCAACATGTCTTCTAGCGAGCCCAATCGCCTCAACCTCTCAATCGTCCTCCAATCAGTCCTCTCAACTCATTCTAGAGGAGCCCCAGCCCGGGTTTGTCATGATTCCCGAGGTTGCATCGTATCTTCGTGGGGTAAAGGAGATGGTGGTGGGTGAGAGGAGCTCCTCCCAAGTGGGGCACCTCTTCCCCAGACATTCGAGTCCGGCATTGACGCTTATCAGGCCGTCACCTGCGACCTTGGTCGGGGCTCCTCCTCGGTGAGCTCCAGCCAGCTCCTTTCTTCTTATCTCATCTGCCTTGAGCAAATCTGAAGCCTTTTAGACTTCGTCGTGCTGTATAGATCTTTCAAAACGAGGGATCGGCATTGTGAAGGTTACCATGGTAGATCCTTTGAGTTCAAGACTTGGGACATTTTGTCCGATGCGGCCGCACTGGGCAATGAACAAGCATGCAACTGGGAACGATAAGAATAGTAAACCCACAATTTGCGGAGAAGACGATTGTCCTATCACGTTGACTCTATTATCATGGGATGCCCATCGAGCTTCAGTGCTTGCACGACTGCTGTGAGACATCGTCGACAGTGAATATTGAAGCCTCGTAGAATACATCTTTACTTGGCAATCAAGAGTGAATCCAGAAACATATTTACAGTGCCAACCTTGAAACATCATTATCGTCATGACACCTAGTGTGAAAATGTCTCCCAGATCAACCGACAAGCCATTCCAATGTCCTGCGTGCTCAAGTCGATTCACCCGACAGGTGATTCTCCCGTTGAGCGATAGCCCCCAACACAAAAGATTGACAGTCAGCAGGAGAACTTGAATCGTCATACGGCATCAGGTACTGATTAAATAAAAAATTCTTGATGTCTAGAGACGAGCCAGGCTGACGGACTCAGTACATCAGCGTTCAAATCTGAGGCCATTCCCATGTCTACAGTGTGAAGTCAGCTTCTCCAGAAGGTAGGCACTATTTCTAGAACATCAAACTACTTCGAAATTTTGTTAGAGTCTGAGTTGACTTGTATTAGTGATTTGAGAAAACGCCACGTGAGAAGATACCACGCAAACCCCGATCGCAATGACGAGACAATCCACGTCGCCAATCATGCTGCGCCAGCCGACGAACCAACAAAAGAGACAAACACATCAGCGGATGCGACCTGCTTAACTGATCGTTCAAACGCCGAAGGTGTAGGTGCTCCGTTCATCAAACCCGACAGATTTTCAATCTAAATTTTGACAATGGCTCAGTCAATATCGATTTCACAAATTTCCGCATCACGAGGCATTTCATGGTTATTCAAACTTCCTCAATTTGTATCAGCTTACTTCGATCGTTTTCAGCCCACGTTCCCGCTTCTACACAAGCCAACATTCGACCTTGATACGGATCAGGAGCCGTTGATACAAGCGATTGTTTGCCTTGGGGCTATTTATCAAGCTCAAGGTTCAGACCAGGAGATAAGCGCTACATTGTTCTCTTCGGGCCTGAAGTCTCTGGACCTATACGTAAGTGAGCATACAAGAATGACTTCGTACGAATGTTGAGCGGTAGAATGACTTATAGGTTCGCGAGAGTCGGCGGGTAAGATTTAGAGAGTTGTGGGTTATGCAAGCCTACCTGCTCTTCGAATACTATGCATTCTACAGCTGCGACGATGGCCGGTTCTCAACGGCTCTCAAGATCCACAGGAAGCTTATTGATGCTGTCCGACAGTACCAGATGCTTCAAGATAGAATAGCTCTGGGCGTAGACGAAATCTCCAGCCCGAACGAACCTTCGGTAGCTTCTTCAATGACCGTGACCGAGCACGCCTGGCGAGTTGCCATGTACAACGAGTCAAGAAAGCGGTATGGCCACCTACCAGCGCGGTACCAGCGCGAAAATCTGGCATCAACTGAAGTAAAACGTTGACATTTGAGGTCTCAGGGTAGTTTACTGTCTATACTACCTTGATGCTCAACTCTCAGTCTGTTGTAACATACGTCCGCTGCTCGCAGCTCTCGAATTGAAATACGAACTTCCGTGTCAAGACGACACATGGCAAGCTGCCACAGCCGAAACCTGGCAAGCCCTCATAGTCTCTCAAGAAGGGTCATTCAGCGAAGAAGACGACTATGAAGCCAATGGCGACCCACGCCCGGCGCACGGCGATCTGTATGCAAGTCTCATGTACTTGATGAATCCCAACCCGCAAGACCGGCCTCTGCGATTACTCTGGCACTCATCTTTCGCATGTCTCATGCTCATAACGCAAATTTTGATGATGATTCGTGACCTCACCTTGGCAAGCTCGTTCTTATACAACAATGTGCGGTGTGGTGAGTCCAAGAACAACTTGTCAATCATCTCAGAAGCTAGTCGGACCTCGATCATGCAAGCTCTGAACGCCTTGTCGGATATCATGCGCAAGCCATCATTTCCTAGAACATGCCCCCTCAGCAGCTTTTTAGATGATTCCGAGTCTGTGGAGTCTAGCCTATGGAGCAACGTCTGGATCGTGTGGCATTATGCTGCAATGAATCTAACCCACCAAGAGGCATTACTCACGAGCGGCATCGTCGAGTATAGTCTTCCATCTGCTGTTTCAACTTGCTGGGAACTTGGTAAACCTCGAGTGAAACAGCATCGAGATGTGTACGAAGATAGAGATGGTATGTATATGAGTCCTTCTTCATATTGTCACTCATGCGAAGACTTCACATGAAACAAGACACCAGCTCACACTGTCTCAGTCATCCGTGTTGCTAGTAGCCTGGAGAGCATTCTTGTGCTTCTTTCTCGCGACACTAGACCCATCGATATCAACTTTCAGTTACAACCTGAATTCACCCCCAAAATAATCGAAGATCCTTTCATCACAATGATCGGATACAAGGCATGTCTGCTGGGCTGGCGCATAGTACGTCTAATGGCTGTTAGCCTACAGACCAGCACGGCCTCGTCCAACATCCAAACACAAAGCATCTACTCCATGTCTGCTCGAGTTGTTCTTACTGGCATACTAGCTGCCATAAGCCCAGAGTCTGCAAATCAGAGAGGTCAGTGGAACCCAACAGCGGCGGTAGATGATGCCGAGTCTAGATACTTAGCATGGATGGAGGCAACCTTTGTGGCAAGGGATGTGTGGCCACCAAGCAAATGGATCGTCGCTGTATTTAATGAAAGCAGACATGAGCCTGAGTAAGAGTGCGCAGTGTGTAGTCTATCTCAAAGTATACAGACTCCTTTGAATCTTGCAGAATTTCTCCGAATCTCCTCTCAAGTTCCGATAATGCTATGATCTCTGGAGGTGCTAAGCTTTCCCAGGCTCAAAGGCCATCATAGTCAGGATAAGTACCACCAGGCTCGTCACGAATGATGTTAGATCCGAGTATGCTATCGAATATTCCATCTTTGTCGTTACGGACGCGCATATAATACTCATGTACCACAGGATGCTTTTCCGCCCAGCTTTTGGTAAAGACCTTGGAGACAGTCAGTAACTTTTCGGATACTGTATTTAGGGAACTTGAGTTTCTTGTTAGACAGGTCCTTACATATTGGTAGCCTCTTGCGAGACCAGAAACGACGAAGAGGTCGGCAAGCGTCAACATATCTCCAACTAGATAATTCTTCCCTGTGATCTCCTTCTCGATGGCACGAATGGTCAACTCACAGGCTTCCTCACAAGTCTTGAGAATCTGAGGACTGCTAGGTACCCGTCCGATGATGGGTCCTATCCATGCCATAATGGGTGGCAGGAGCTCATAGTTCGTGAATGATGCCCACCGAAGGACAGTTGTCTCCTCCTTCAATCCAGATCCACACAGCTTTGTGTTTGGATCCTGCTTTGCCACTGTTGTACCGTGAGTTTTACCGAGTCTATCGTTTCCAATAAGCTTGGCACTTACGGAACCATGCAACTGCGTTGCTTTCGTAGACAGTGAAGCCATCGGCGGTCTCCAGCGCGGGGACTTTTCCAGTGTGGAACTTGGAGAGATATTCTTCACCGACGCCGCCCTTTTCCGGGTATACTTTGATCGGGAATGCGTTGCAAATCTCGACGTCGAGTTTATTATACTTGGCAACGAAGAGCACCATCGTAGATCGAGGCGCTTTGGGATACGTGTAGAGCTTGCCGAAAGACATCTTGCTGCTTGTGGTAGCTTGTCTGAATGGAGAATAAACGAACGTAGGGAGGAATTTTGCTGCTAGAATCTGGACTGAACTTATAGCTGTACTTTACCGGGCAGGAGGTCCTGTCCCCTACATAATGCATCCTGCATATTGTCGCTGATGATTATCGTCATAGGGAGGAGCTCCACCACAAAGGTGGAGGTCCATCCCGCAACAAATGCTCCTCCTACATTCAAAGATTACCTTGACAACTCATTGTTCGAGCCGTCAGCTGGATCTACGCGAATCTCTGCTTGCGCTGGTTCTGTCTCTGAAATTGCACGGTTCAGTCACATAGCGAGTATCCCATCGACTGTTAGAAGCACAGATGCAGCACATCCGCCTCCAGTCTTTCCCTAACTTCTTAGGTATTTAAATTTAACTTATTTAGAGTGAATAAAAGGAAAACAAAGTTGGGCAAATATGTCATTCATTACCATTACTTGTAAAAGTGTATAGTGTTGTATTGTCGATATCTGGCAGCGGATAAGAGAAAACCTAGATGATGAGAAATGCAATGCCAACCCTACATAAAAAGAAAAAGGAGAAAAGTACAGTACTCACTCGAATAATGCCAAGGTAGTCTAGAATCGGGATTCGAAATGAAGCGGTTGGAACAAAATGTCTTTCAAATTCGCGGCTTCTTCATTCATCCAAACTTCGTCAAATGGCTAAATAAGTCCACCAAAAGCATCTATCAAACAGGTTACACGAACGTCAAAATTCGTTAGTCTCCCGAGCACGCAAAACGTTCCCGAGATGCGGGAAAGACTTCCATGTCATGATGTGACCGCTGATAGGCGCGGATGCGGCAGTCATCCGTGGAACCACTACTGTAGCATCAGTTGTCGCTGCAAAATGAATGCTGCCGGTTCGGAGCTGAAAATGCAACCTTGGCTTGCGAACCGAGAGGTAATGGTTGGAGCGTGTCTGCCATCCCACCGGCTGAGTCTGTGGGGTTTAGCTAGCCATGCAGTCGGCCGAATGCAAGATGAAAATCTGGGGTCATCGGCTGAACTGATGCCACCCTTTCGCATCATCCGCAGTCATGCAACTGCCGGAAGAAAAATAATGAAGCACCGTAGCTGGAGCGCAATCTCCTTGGGCTGTAGATCGACAGTCAAGATCTTACGACCCAATGAGATACTTGAAACTGGATTTCATGATGTCCTCGTACCGAGTGAAAGAGATCCGAGATGGCCGAGAACCCATTTTGCGTTTGTGATGAAAATGATAAAACCGAACTGGCATCCCTCAACTAATCGTTCATTTCAGTAGTCAAGGACACCCCAGCCTACAAAATCACACATTGAGCCTATCAACACGTCCACACGATGAGATCCTGGCTGCGCTCACTTGTCACGATAGCTGCTTTGGCAGCCCTTATTGTGGCAGAGACCTTCACCAACCCGGTCATATGGGAAGACCTCGCCGACAATGAGGTTCACCGTGTCGGAGACACCTACTACTTGACGGCATCCACCATGCACTACTCCCCCGGTGCGCCCATCCTACGCTCTAAAGACTTGGTCAACTGGGAGTACGTCAGCCACTCGGTTCCGGTTCTCGATTGGAACTCGCAATACGACTTGGCAGATGGCAAAAATGCCTATGTCAAAGGTATCTGGGCATCTTCTCTTCGCCACCGGGCAAGCAACGGTCTCTGGTACTTTGTAGCCTGCGTAGAGTTCTCAAAGACTTACGTCTACACATCACCTGACCCTGCTGGGCCCTGGACCAAAGCCGGCACCATTGACACGTGCTACTACGATGTTGGCTTGTTGTTTGACGATGACGATACCCCGTACGTAGCCTATGGAAACACCGCGATTTCTGTTGCGCAACTCTCTGCCGACGGACTTTCGGAGACTCGACGAGAGACGGTATTCCAGACGCCCAGCGATATTGGTGCTCTGGAGGGTGCGCGGATGTACAAGCGAGACGGAAACTACTACATCTTCCTGACGAGACCGCCTGATGGACAATTCGTGCTCAAATCATCCAGCCCGTGGGGTCCATACGAAGTCAAGGTTCTCGCGGACAGAATCGCACTTAGTTCGGTTCCGAATGCCGGGTCGCCGCACCAGGGCAGTCTCGTGGACACCCAGAACGGAGATTGGTACTACATGGGCTTCACGGACATCTATCCCGGCGGCCGCTCCCCCGTGCTGGCTCCCATCACTTGGGGAGATGATGGTTTCCCGTCGCTCGTGACCGTCAACGGTGCTTGGGGAGACTACGAGTACCCGCTTCCCCGGGCGGATGTGCCGAGCGCTCTACGCACCGATGAGTTTGCCGGCACATCCCTCCGCCCCGAGTGGGAATGGAATCACAATCCCGATGTCAGTGGCATCGAGGTCAACAACGGAATCAAACTCCGCACCGTCACTGTGACATCGGACCTGTACTCGGCTCGCAACACCCTGACCCACAGAATTCGAGGACCGATTGGAACCGGCACCGTTCACCTTAACGTTGCGAACATGGCCGACGGGGACCGCGTTGGACTCGCAGCGTTGCGCGATAAGTCCTCTTGGATCGGCATCGAACGTGAAGGGGATGTGTATTCCATCGTCACCGTTGGAGGTCTGACCATGAACACCGACTGGACCACGAACTCGACAGGGGCAGTTGTTGAGCGCAGGCCATTGGGAGACGCGAGAGACGTCTACCTCAGAATGGTGGCTGACATTCGTCCTGGCGGGCCTGGCAACACTGTCTTCAGCTACAGTGTCGACGGCCAGATTTTCGAGACTGTGGGTGCGCCATTCACGCTGTACAACAACTGGGAGTTCTTCATGGGCTATCGATATGGCATCTTCAACTACGCAACAAAAGCATTGGGTGGCTCTGTGACAGTTTCATCGTTTACCAATGCTTAGTTGGTGTTTAAGTCTCGAGCCTCTTGTTTAAATTGCGCCCAAACAGGAAGATGTATTGAAGTTTCTGAAACTGTAAATAGCCAAAGTCAGGGGATGGGAATAGGTAATGTGGGAGAAAGAAAGAAACATTCAACATTGTATTTACTCTTATGCTTCCGATACGAATAATATCAATAATCCGCAGCAGCTGACGCCCCTCGGTTCGTCCGCAATTTAAAGTTGCAATGCAAAGAATCGGAGAGAGCCAACAAACCGGGCAAAGCGCATCTCTTCCCCGCACTCAAAAGTCCGCAGGCTCCAACCTCCAACCCCGAGTTGGTGAGCCCCCAACCTCGCCGGGTAACCCGGACCTAAGCGGACCCAATAATGGAGCTTGATACGCGCCAAAGGGGACCAGAGACCCGGAGGGAGACCTGGGGTATTTGAACGCGATGCTTCATTTGGATCCAATGCCGAGGTTTGTTGGATCTTCATGAGGAACCCCTCATTGAATATGTGCCTAGCTCGCCTACCCAGATGTGCCATTTACGGTCACCTTCTCGCGCAGCAGGCTACATCCTGTCAATCTTAACCCCGCGCGGCAGCTCTTCGAAGCCAGTGTCCTGGTCTACACGTGTACTATCTCACTACGGGCCGAACATGTGTGAAGTAGAGAGGGCTATCGATGGCTGTCTGTTGGCCATGGCACTCAGCTGATTCGTCATCAGAGAGCGGTCTGGGATGACCCCTGACGATCCGAACACCTCGATATGCATTAGGTAGTTTTCTGGAGGCTAGCTTTCCCCCAGCCCACTGATGAGTCTCCGAGCCTGTTGCGACTAAGAAAGCACGGCAATGGGGAACTGTTTTGGCCAAGTGGGTTTCCCATCGACAGCTTTCCGCAGCTGCGGGAGCAGGTCTCAGTGCGGATATCATTCTAGTTTGCTTGGCCGAAGGGGTCTCGGTGAGTATGCGACGTCATGCAAGTCTTGATAAATACCTCTCCGTTTCCCCCGAGCTTTCCTTGGGCGCTGACGTTGGACAACGAACCTTTGTTCTCCCCGGTCGTTCCGCATCCGCCTCTTGCTCTGCCCTTTTAAGCCTCTTCTTCGAGTCTTTCATCCCCGAATATCGCTATTGATTCTTCCAGTACGATAGATCCGAGAGT